CCATTCAGGCCTTACATTTGACCACCAGTTCCCATACACTTTGTTTGCACTGATGTCCACTTCTACTGGACATACATTTGGCATTTATTTATAAATACAGAGAATTAGTATCATAAACTAAAAGCATCACGCAGTCAAGGCATGCGTACACAATGTTAAAGTCCTATGTACGAGGGGCGTTTCGGGGGGAGGGGGGTCAATTTTTAGACAAATTTTTGCGTACGTACTTATTGAATGGCCCCTAAACAGAAAGTTAAAACTTATATAATACTGTATTACTGTAATACATAATACTGCATATTATTATATACAGTAATGTTCTATAGTATGTGAAGTTAATTAAATTGGCATTGAAATCAAGGTCAATGTAAAACTATATAGTTTATGACAAATACTTTTATAACTTGTTTATGTACAATAATGTTAAAATTCCTAAATAGCAAATAAAAATATTATTAAAATGAATATATTTTAGCACAGACAACAAATGTTTAAAAACAATGTTTTATTTAAATACTTATAAATTATTAGTTATTTTGTGTTTATATCAACCAAACCAATGGTGTGTTTGTAATGATATCATTGATGTGATCACCACTTCTGGGTCAGTGAGGGGACAGACACTAAATGTGTTGAACAAACTGGTGGACCAGTTCCTGGGCATACCATACGCTGAACCCCCTATTGGAAAGCTTAGGTTCGCTCGACCGCAACCCATTAAAGCACCAAGACAAGTTATTTATACCATTTTAAACATATTATACATTAAAATAATATATTTTAATCAAAACGAATCAGGGTATTATAGACGCTACAAAAGTAGGCGTATCCTGCATACAAAGTGAGACACAAGACTTGACTGACCTGTTGGGTGATGTCCGGCAAAGTGAGGACTGTTTGGTACTGAATGTGTGGACACCTAATGATAAGAGCGTTAAAGACGTATCACTAAAAGCGGTGATGTTTTGGATTCATGGCGGGGCTCTGGCCATGGGATCCATATTTGATAAGTTATATAACGGCAGTGTTTTGGCCACATATGATGTGGTGATTGTGTCGGCTAACTATCGGTTGGGACGGTTAGGCTTTCTATACGGTGGCGATGAGACGGCGCCCGCAAATGTGGGCTTTTATGACCAGTTATTGGCTCTTCAATGGGTATAAAGTAATATAATATTTATATATTCAATGCAATAATATTTTAATTCAAGGTTAGAGAAAATATACATCAATTTGGTGGGGATAGGGATCAGATCACTATATTTGGTGAGAGCGCCGGCAGTTGGTCCGTATCGGCACACGTATTGTCTCCCCTATCAAAGGGTTTATATAAGAGGGCTATTATGCAAAGCGGAGCCCTTATGTTCAATAAGGATCGGCCTATTATGGGAACAGTAGATGCTTTAACTAAAGCCAAAGATACAGCCCGTGAGTTGGGTTGTGATGAATATGACTACAAATGGTTGGACTGTTTGCGAGCCATTGATGACCCAAACCTTTTCATAGAAAAGCCTCAAAACGGTGAACCATTTGTTATAACATATCCGGTATTTGGCACTCAATTTCTACCACTTTTGCCACAAAAGGCATTCAATACTCGACAGTATAACTCAGGTTTGAATTATTATAATTGTTATTATAATTAAATTATTATTTTATTATAATTAATGTGAGTGAGTGTGTGTGTGTGTGTGTGTGTGT